CTAATCATGAAAAACTGTAGGCAAACTCAAATTGATGAACGTTGTACAAAATAACTGACCAGTATTCTTTATAAGTCTCAGGGTTATGCAAGACAAGGAGAGACTGGGGCGTTTGCAGATTGGAGGAGAGAGTAAGGACACCTACAAGCAGTATGGGATCCTAGATTGGCTCTTGCAACACAAAAGGGTATTATTGAAAAACGAATAAAATGTGAATGGAGTCTATAGTGCGGTTAATAGTGTGTTAATGTTAATTTCTTAGTTTTGATACTTGGACTGTGGTAGTCTAAGATATTGATATTGGCCGAAGCCAGCTGAGGGGTACACAGGAGCTCTGTTATTTTTGTAGCTTTTCTGTAAGTCTAAAATCCTTTCAAGATCAAGTTTTTAAAAAGCTTTCTGCCATTTGGTACTTGAGCACTTTTCAGTAACAGTACATTTTTACAGTAACAGTAAATTTTTTAAATTTAATAAATTTAAAAAATATTTTGATATTTTTAAAATTTATTACTGGTGTGTGTGTGATTTTGAGTCTACCATTCAACATTTTCCACAAATGCTAAATTCTATCAGTTTTTTTCGAAGCACCTTTAAAAAGCCCTAGACTTCTTTTCTTTCTTTTTTTTCCTGTTTTCCGTAATTCTCCCTCTCTAAAGCAGTGTTTTTGGTAAATGATTACAGCTCAACCCTCCAGGGGGTATTAACCTCTGAGATGATGACCCGTGGGGCCCATTTACACAGAACAAGGAGCCTGCGGCCGGAGGTCTGAAGACCTGGGAGCCAGCCTTCTTAGTCCAGTTCTTTTTTTTTTTTTTTTTTTTTTAAAGATTTTTTTATTTATTTATTTGACAGAGAGAGATCACAAGCAGACGGAGAGGCAGGCAGAGAGAGAGAGAGGGAAGCAGGCTCCCTGCTGAGCAGAGAGCCCGATGCGGGACTCGATCCCAGGACCCCGAGATCATGACCCGAGCCGAAGGCAGCAGCCTAACCCACTGAGCCACCCAGGCGCCCCGAGTCCAGTTCTGTTACTAACTAAATCCATGACTTTTCGGTGTTAATGTTCTGATGCCAAATGGGAAATTCAGGTTAGATACTATACGCATAGTTGATGTATGTATTCAAATGATTACTTTTTTTTTTTTAAGGATTTTATTCATTTCTTTGTCAGAGAGAGGGAGAGAGAGAGAGCACAAGCAGGGAGAAGGGCAGAGGGAGAAGCAGTCTCCCCCTTTTTTTTTTTTAAACATTTTATTTATTTATTTGACAGAGAGAGATCACAAGTAGGCAGAGAGAGAGAGAAGCAGGCTCCCTGCCAAGCAGAGATCCCGATGCGGGGCTCGATCCCAGGACCCCGAGATCATGACCCGAGCCGAAGGCAGCGGCCTAACCCACTGAGCCACCCAGGCGCCCCGAGTCCAGTTCTGTTACTAACTAAATCCATGACTTTTCGGTGTTAATGTTCTGATGCCAAATGGGAAATTCAGGTTAGATACTATACGCATAGTTGATGTATGTATTCAAATGATTACTTTTTTTTTTTTAAGGATTTTATTCATTTCTTTGTCAGAGAGGGGAGAGAGAGAGAGCACAAGCAGGGAGAAGGGCAGAGGGAGAAGCAGTCTCCCCCTTTTTTTTTTTAAACATTTTATTTATTTATTTGACAGAGAGAGATCACAAGTAGGCAGAGAGAGAGAGAAGCAGGCTCCCTGCCAAGCAGAGATCCCGATGCGGGGCTCGATCCCAGGACCCTGGGATCATGACCTGAGCTGAAGACAAATCCTTAATCCAATGAGCCACCCAGGTGTCCCCAAATGATTACATTTTTTAATTAATTTTTTTTCTTTTTATCAAGGTCCCAGGTGCTCTATTTTTAGGTTCCCAAGTTTTTGTTTTGTTCTGTTTTATCCATATTTTTTCCCCCTCTTGCCTCCGAAGTCTTTGGGTTCTACAACAGCTCTCGATTTACACACTTCATTCTGGCATTTTCCTTAGACAATCCCTCTTCCTCTCTCTCTTTTTTCAAATCAAATTAAGGAGATCAACATTTTCTTTTTTTTCTTTTGAGCAGGAAGCCCCTGCAGCTGTCCTCTGTCTTGTTTTTCTTCTCTCTGAACAGTGTGTGGTCCTTTTCACAGTTGTGCCTCCAACTGTCTCATGGCTTCTGCGTTGTGGCTTCCGAACATTTGGGCCTCGACTGGGCTGAGCCCTGGCACCATCCTATAGGATCACTGGTGGGCACGCCCCTCCTGCCCACACACGGTGGCATGAGAGCTCAGGGTCAGGGTCCCTTGGCCAACCTGCATCACTAATACCAGCACTGAGGCCAGGGCATGGAGCCAGCAGGGTGCATTAAGGAATAACTGACACTTTTTAAAAAAAATTTAGGATTTTATTTTTTTAGAGAGAGAGTAGAGAGTGGTGGGGAGGAGCAGACAGGGAGGGAGACGGGAGAGAGAAAAAAAAATTTTGTTTTTAAAGATTTTATTTATTAGAGTGAGCATGTGTGCAGGTGCACAAGTGGGGAGAGGGGCTGAGGGAGAGGGAGAAGCAGACTCCCTGACGAGCAGGGAGCCTGACTCGGGGCTCAATCCAAGGACCTTGGGATCATGACCTGAGCCAAAGGCAGATGCTTAACGGACTGAGCCACCCAGGTGCCCCAGAGAGAGAATCTTGAACAGATTCTGCTTACAGAGCCCAAGGTGGGGCTCAGTCTCACGACCTTGAGACTATGACCTGACCTGAAACCAAGAGGCGGACACAACCAACTGAGCCACCCAGGTGCTCCAGGAAAATAACTGACACTCTTGAGAACAGATGATTTACCCAGGTTTGCTTTGTTATTTTTGTCAGGGGATGGACCACTTGCTTGTCCTCACCGGAATAGACAGTTTGGTTAGGTTCAGGATATTGTGGGGTATTCCTTGGTTCCTGTGGAATACAGAGTAGAAGTGATCTTTTTAAAGATAACCTCCAGCTCCATTTGTTGTTTTTTTGTTGTTTTCAACTTATTTTTAAAATTGAGATATAATTGACATAAAACATTATGTAAGTTTAAGGGGAACAAATGTTGATCTGATACATTTCCGTATGCTTGTATCGTACTGCGTCGGTCTGTTAACTCTCATTCCCAACTCCAGCCATTTCTCCTTCTAGCTCATTTATATGCAGGAATCAGATACTTAATTTTATCAGCGTGCCCCTCAAAAACAGTGAAATGGGTGCAGCATTTAGAAACATGCCTGGTATGTAGTATACATTGCATTAGCGTCTGTTTAATAAAAATAAGAAATTATTCTCACTTCCAAAGAACTTCCAAAGAACTTTCCATTTAGTTGGAAAGATAAAATGCACAAACAAACAAGCAAAAACCAACCAGCACATAGCACAGTATGGAAGAAATGTCACTTGAGAGAGTGGGCAAGAAGAGGCGAGACCTCTCTGCTGTGTGCTCACCTCGAGTCATCTCACTTATTTGCCTAAACAACCAGCAGTTCCTCCCATTTTATGGCTCAAGAAATTAAGGTTAGTAGGTATAAAAGGCCTTACAAGGTTTATGTGTAACCGCAGCATTTGAACACAGGGCTGGCTGAACTGAAGACTCCTGTTAGCACCAGATAGAATAGACAGAGGAAGCTTTGGAAGGAGACTCGTGCTGAACCTCGAAGCATGGATAGAATTTACCAGATGGAGAGCAGTGGGGAGCGCATACAGGTTGTGGGGGGCAGGGAAAGGGGTGGGCACAGCTTGGGTAAAGATGCGTCCTTAGGAAGCATGAAGTGTGCTGGGGAATGGGCAGCGTTGCCCAGGTTTGCTAGAGGGAGGGAGGAGCGGCAGAGAAAACTGGAACCTGGGTTGGAGGCAGAGCCTAATGAGCCTTGAATTCCGAGTTTGGACTTTCTTTCATAACCCATCTCATAGCCCATTGACGGTGTTTGTGAAGGGGAGTGACGTGGTGAAAAGAGGACTTTATGCGATTTAAGTCGGGTGGGGTATGGAATGGGCTGGAGAAACAGAGGGGCTGCGCTCATGAAAGCTAACGCTTGAGGTACCGACATATGGTGCTAAGTGCTCCTCGTGCATGATGCCATTCATCCTGACAATAGCCCTAGAAAGCGAGTGTTAATATCATCCCCATTTTCCAGATAGGCAAACTGAGGCTCTGAGAGGGTCAGTACGGAGCAGGCTCCCACAGTGAATCACGGTGCTGCTAGGATGTGAATGAGGTGAATCCAGTTCCGCCTGTGCTGCCTCTGTTTGCTACAGCACCCGTCAGTGGCTCAGCAGACGACCTGGGACAATTGTAACAGGTCGGAGGAGATGATCCAGGTGATGAAGACTGAGCTGGCTCAACTTGATGGAAAAGGAGAGATGGGAGCAGGGGTGTGACACGTCGTTGTGTGTGAGCCCGATCTCGGGGCTGGGCCTGTAATTCCATAGTTTCTTTTTCTGTAGTCCTTCCCGTGGGAGCTGGTGCTCAGGGCTGAGAACATTGCCAAGACCATGGAACAGCACGGAAAACCTTGCCGTGCAGCCCAGGCTTCTTGAGTTCTTCTGAGGACATGTATTAATTTAATAAAATAAGTGCTGACGTTGGTGTGCTGGGTGTGGGTTACCTTTGAGATGGGTTAAGCACATTTCCAGGCATTCTCAAGCATCTCAAGTTTTAATTCCTTGAGTTTGAGATAAGGAGGTGCCTCCAGAGGTCTGTGGGTGATAAGATCTCCCTTTCCCCATGAGCCTTCCTCCCTTATGTGCTTTTCTTGATATGTTCCTATTTACTTCCCTGTTTTGCTACTGTATGGATTGTTCCATCACAGAATTAATTTGCTTCATTTTTGCTTCTTTTTTTTTTTAAAGAAAAAGGGGGTACGTGCATTTTGACTCTGCAAAGCTTTTGACGAGAGTTAAATGAACCTATAATTCGAGTGCGCTGAATGCCACGGTGACCACGTGGGGTGGTGCAGGCCAGCCCAGTGACCTCTCTGCTCTGTCTGCTGCAGGCGACAAGAAGTACATCATGGGGCCCAAGCTTTCTACTCTGGACGCCACCGTCTTTGGACACTTGGCACAGGCCATGTGGACCTTACCTGGGACAAGACCTGAGCGGCTGATCAAAGGCAAGCCCTACAAACCTCTTCAGGCTTTAGGAATTGCTGTGGGGTGAAGGGTATGGGTAACACAATGGACAATTCTAGGTCTATGCCTGTGAACTTGGCTGTGCTTTTTGGAGACACCAGGCTCTGGTGTCCAGGGCTGGGGTCAGTTTATTTAATTTTTTATTATTATTGTTATTTTTAAAGATTCTATTTATTTATTGACAGAGAGAGAGAGAGAGGGAGGGAGGGAACACAAATAGGGGGAGTAGGTGAGGGAGAAGCAGGCTTCCCGCTGAGCAGGGAACCTGATATGGGGCTCGATCCCAGGATCCTGGGATCATTACCCGAGCCGAAGGCAGACACCTAATGACTGAGCCACCCAGGTGCCCCGGGTCAGTTTATTATGCTCAGGATGTGTAGGGGTTGAGGAAGACCAGACTTTCACCTGCCATCTTGCCTAGACCATGTTCTCAACAAAGTTGATGCAAATTGTACTGTGTATTACACCAGCTCCTTACATAGTGGACTTAACACTTGTTGATAACAGGGCTGGGATTCCACCTAGTGCCCTTATTTTGTTGGTCTTCCTTAATTTCCGTGGGACATTAGTGCCGAGCCTCACCACTTTCCGTTCTATGTAGTACGGCAGCAAACATGGTGGGCTGGGGCTGATGGACTCACTGCCCATCTCGATGCTGTTTTTGAGTCTGAACTGGTGTTACATATTTCACATGTAGGTATAGGTACATATGTTTCTACATCATTTGAGTTCAAAACATTCTTTCCTCCTGTTCCAGTGGGTATCTGTAGATCATACATTGAGAGTAGTAGAGCTAGGAAGTTCAAGATTGTGAAAAATAGGGGAAATGTCCGCAACTGTTTTATAGTGTGATACTATATAAAATGTTATTATTATTAGTAGTAGTAGTAATTGTTGTATATTTTGGCCGTAAGGCCTGCCACAGTTACATTACAGACTTGGGGGGGTGCGGTAGAAGTGGGGATGAATGGGACCAGACCTAGGGGATGAATGAATATATGTGTGGGGGTGGTAAGCCAAGAGTTGAATTCATGTTGGCTAGGGGAGCAGGGACAGTAAGCTCAACGTGGGTTGGTATCCAGGGACCAGATCTTGGTGTATGTGTGTGTCGGGGGCAGACTGAGCAGGTGGGATGCACGTGAAAGCTGGGCCCTGGGAGAGGCTTCCTCTGGTGAATGGGGACTGTTTGGAGTCCTCTCCAATTTCTTTTTTTTTAAAGATTTTACCTATTTGAGAGAGAGAGAGTAGAGAGAGACAGAGAGAGAGAGAGAGCAGGAACAGGGGTGGGGAGGAAGGGCAGAGGGAGAGGGAGAAGCAGACTCCCCGCTGAGCAGGGAGCCTGACGCAGGGCTCTATCCCAGGACTCTGGGATCATGAGCTGAGCTGAAGGCAGATACTTAAACCGAATGAGCCACCTGGGTGCCCTGAGTCATCTCCAGTTTGAAGAAGTACCTGAGCAGGTACCTGGGGGCTGCTGAGACAGGGATCAAAGTTCAGTATTTGGGTTTGGGAAGGGGAGTGACAGAGTTGACCAAGGTATTTATGCCCCAGCTGAGAAGGCTGGGGATGTAGATGAGATCACCAGTGAATAGTGTATAGAATGTTTTTAATGTTGCTGGAGGGATCGTCAGAACCAAGCAAGGCAGAATCATACAAGAAACTGAGGCGTGTGGTGGCCAGACGTGGGTGTATAGGAAGGTTGAGGAAGGCTGTAGCTCTGTGTGTGCGTGATTCATGTGCATGCCCAGAAGCTCAGACCAGGTAAAGGACAGGAGAAGTCATTCTCCAGATCCTCCCATTGGTGAGGATGTCTTCAGATACATTACCAGACTTGGTTGGAATAGAGCAGGCATTGACTGAAGGTCTTCCAGAACTTCGGCTGGGTGAGGCTAGGGATAGTATGGACTGATATTTAATTTCCTATGTGATCAGCACAGAGATGTTCCTTGTCTTGCAATGTGTTGGAAGTTACCTAAATCAAATATATTACCTTATTGGTGATGTTTGTAGCATTTAAAATAGTTTCTCTTCGTTTTAATCATCTAAGATACATTGGCTCCCTTTAGTTCATGTTGTGTATCTACACTCTATTCCTGTTACTTCCTATTCCCTGCCACCACTCTTACTGACCAACAAGTACACACACTGCCACATCTACTCACATACTTCTATACACACATACCCCATACACACTCAGTTGTACACATATACCCACATTTGTACCCAATCCCACGTGCGTGAACACACCCAGCTGATGTCATCTGTTATTAGTCAGAAGCATTTGGGTATTATCCATTATGACTAGAACTATTAAATTCTATAGAATCCCTTCTTGCAGGAATGAAACATCTTTTGTTAAATTATTTATGACTTGTCCCTTTTCACTTTTACTTCCTGGAAGGACTCGAGGCATTTAGTGTCCTTTTTAAAGAAATGGGTCAGCCTTTTTGGAGGATCAATTTTGAGTTTCACCCAAGATCCACACACTGGGGAGAATCTGACACCACCATGTGTGAGGGACTTTGGCTGTGTGTACTTTGGTTCTTAAACAAGTTAGAAGCTTCCAGCTCTCCCTGGGAACCGGGAGTAGCATGAATCGTTAAAGTCGACAGAAGGTCTCCAAATCCCATTTTGGTCATTGGTTGCATGGCCTTCTAAACCTTCTGATGGCAGCTGCTAATAGGCAGGCAAACCACTACTTTGGTTTCTATTTCTTCCTCCACCTTTGCTCTTTCTGTGGCGGAGACTTGCCCAAGAAGTAACAAGAGGAAGGGGAAGCAGGAACAACGAAGCACCTGTACGCTTTCGAACTGGCCCAAATCTAGGATCATCACTGCTTGGATCAGGCAGTCTTCTGCCTTAGCTTTGGAGCATCCAAAGCACTGTTGGCCTTGCCACATGTGTGAGTGTGGGTGTGTGTGTATAATATTCGCTTTTGGTCCTAGGTATTAGTTACAGTATCTAGCCACATAGTGTAGCAGAACCATCGAAAATACTGAGAAATTTTCCTTAATTCATGGGAGTAAGAGGACAGACTTTGAATATTAAGCCATTCTTAAAATATACTTAGTATGTGTTTGTGTATTATAGATGTAGATACATGAAATATTTCCTTGCTGGAGAAAATTTAGAAAAGATAGAAAAATTAAAAAATAGAACTTGTGCCCCTTGTCACCCACAGAGAACTACTGTTAATATTGTGGTTGGTGTCCTCATCTTTCATCAAGTACATGTATATGTATATTTTAGAAAAATTGGGATCATGGTGTTGATACAGTTATAAACCTGTAGTTTTAATTAACTATGTATCATGGCCATTTCCCTTGTCATTAAATATGCCTTAAAGCAACATATGTAGTAGTTGGATAATATCCGATGCCCTGGCTACATTGTAATCGATGTGATTAATCTTCTCTTTCTGGACTTGTTCTTGTTTCACATAATTTTTAAACTAATATTATCTAGTGAATATTGTATAAAAATATATTCTTGCTTATCTCTAGTTATTTCCTTAAGCCAAATTCCTAGTTGAGGAATTTCTATCTCAAAAGGTCTAAGCTCTTGGTCTGTATAGCTAAATTGCTTTCCATTTTTTTTTTTTTAAGATTTTATTTGTTTATTTAACAGAAAGAGAGAGAAAACACAGGTAAGGGGAGCAGCAGGCAGAGGGAGAGGGAGAAGCAGGCTCACTGACCTGGGAGCCCAGTGCGGGGCTTGATCTGAGGACCCCGGGATCATGACCTGAGCCAAAGGCAGGTGCTTAACTGCTAAGCCACCCAGGTGCCCCTCCCCTTTAGCTTCAAGGAGTTGAGGGGAAGGTGGTGTCTTCCACACCATTCAAATTTATTTCAAACTTTTCTGAAGAGGATATGCTCCCTGCCCTGTGACAGAATGCCAAAGAGAACAAGCAGGGGCTCTCCACACGGTCAGCACCTCACACAGGTCTGCAGTTAGTGGGGGGTGCAGAGGAAATGCCTGTAATGAGCGTGTGGGGGTGCCAGCCCCATGTTTTCCAAATACTTGCTGGTTAATGCCTGAGGGCTGGACAGGTGCTGCTGGGACATGCTGGCCCTCTCCTCCCCACCCCCACCCCGCACTTCTCCCTCACTCTCATTCCTGCTGCACACAATTGGCAGCTGGGAGAAACAGAGTCCTGGGTTCTGGGGCTGATTGACATTCTGGGGCTGGTTGACAACGTTTTCAGTGTCAAATTGTACAAAAATTTTTTTTTTTTAAGATTTTATTTATTGGGCGCCTGGGTGGCTCAGTGGGTTAAAGCCTCTGCCTTCAGCCCAGGTCATGATCCCAGCATCCTGGGATCGAGTCCCGCATCGGGCTCTCTGCTCAGCAGGGAGCCTGCTTCCCCCTCTCCCTGCCTGCCTCTCTGCCTACTTGTAATCTCTGTCTATCAAATAAATTAAATAAATAAAAAATTTAAAAAAAGGATTTTATTTATTTATTTGACAGATAAAGATCACAAGTAGGCAGAGAAGCAGGCAGAGAGAGAGAGGAGGACCCTTCCTCCCCACCCTATTCCTGCTCTCTCTCTCTCTCTCTACTCTCTCTCTCTCAAATAGGTAAAATCTTTAAAAAAAAAAAAAATTGGACCCTGGGATCATGACCTGAGCCGAAGGCAGAAGCTTTAACCCACTGAGCCACCCAGGCACCCCAAAATGTTTTTGAACATTAGAGATATTGCAGTGATGCCCCCCCCAAAAATAAAATTAGTCACTTTTTTCCAAAGAGCATTGGGGAATATTTCCATTTGGAGGACATCTAAGAGAAAAGCTCTTCATTCTTTTTGGGAGTGACCTCCGGGTCGAGGACCATTTGGCTTTCTGATAAATGGCCTCTCAAGCCGCCCGAGCATATCACCAGTCACTCATTAGTACTGCACTAATGTACTTTATCGGAACTTTAGATTTAAAAATACAATGATTGTCAAAATAAGTTGGATTAATAGGAATATTTTAAAAGATTTATGACTTCCCTTTATCCATGTCTAATATCCCCCCCATGGAATAATCAATATTAAGAATTTGGAATGAATCTTTTTTTGCCTTTCTTTTTCATGTGCAAGTTTACATACATGTATATAATAGTTTTGGGTTTTTTTAAAAACTATTTTTAAACAATAGAATTGCATTCTATACATTACTTTTATAACTTGCTCTTTTCATTTAATAGAATGTCATGCCTTTTTAACAATTACAAAATATATAGAATTGATGCACTGTAATTTATTCTATCAATCCCTATTGACAGGTCATTTTCATCTTTCTTTTCTTCCTTATTTTTTACTGACACAATGCTGTTGACATGCATATACATATATCTTTACGTACCGGGGGTTTTATCTTAGTAGAATAGAGAAATAAAAGTGGAGTTTTGGGCCCCACAGATAGGTACAGTTAAAATTTCAACAGATGACATTGGATTACTTTCCAAAAAAAGGTTATAGAAATTTATAATTCCACCAGACTTGTAGTTACAATGCCTCACCCTCCACGTTGGAGGTTATCAGACTTTAACTTTTACCATTTTTTTGTGTGACATTGTTATCTCATTATTAGGTACACTTTGAAAAAAATGCAGTTTTTCTATTATTTCACAAGGTTCACACCTTCAGTGTAAGCATTTATGTTAACACAGGCGTCTCTCTCTCTCTCTCTCTCTCTCTCTCTCTCTCTCACGCAGACACACACACACACACACACACACACACACACATAATTTCTACTGCCAACTTTGTTCTTTTCTTTTGTCTGGTAGCATGGTGAGTGGGTCAGCTGCTGGAGAATCCAGGGACAGAAGGGACTGGCGAAATCAGACACGGGTAGAACTCAGCCATAACATTTCATTCTTCATCCCACTGTTTTTATCAGTGGTGGGATTTGAGGATGGTATGTGGGCTCCCAGTTTTTGCTTATAAAAAGCAATCCCTTTCTGGACTCCATGATGGAATGATCACTTCTTGACAACTCATTATCTTTGAGGGGCAGTACCTGTCCCCTCATAATTCTTGAGACCCCAGAAAGAATTACAGAAAAATCTTCTGCGACAGGGAGTGTGAAGCTATTAATTCCCAAGCCAGGCTGGGGTGGGGGTGGAGAGAACAGATTCGTGGTGAAGGGCACAGAGTCTGGAGACTGGGTGTTGGAATCCTGGCTCTGCTGCTTTTTAGCTATGTGACCTTAGGCAAGCTAATTAACCTCTTTGTTGCTTCCGTGTTCCCATGACAGATGGGGATAATAATATTTTCTGCTTCATAGGATTATTGCAAATACTAATTCAACAGATGAATAAAGCCCTTCAAACAGTGCCTGGTACACAGTAGGGACTATATGCATGTTTGCTGTTATTTTTATTAACTTTTATTATTGCACACTGAAGAGGAATTCGTGTCACACAGGACAAAGGCAGGGCAGCCCTCCTGGAAGAAAAGTGAAGTAACAGGCTGTAGAAAAAACAGCCACAGGAGAAGCACCTAGAACCATATATGGTGTAGATCCTGTGGATACTGTGAATAGATTTTGACTTTCTAGCTGCTTGCTAAACAGCTCGGAGCGAATGGTCTTGATTGAGGCAAACACAGCTGTCTCCAGACCCCACTGTGAAGTGACCATAGTCCATCTTCTATCACTTCCTCCCACTCCAAGGCCTGCCCCCCACCCCCATCCCGCTGGCCAAACCTTGCTGGGGCCTCCACAGCTTTGTCCAAGTCTTGGTTAGCTGGGACTGGCAGCAGTATCGGGGAGGTGTTTCCTGACTGCTTCCCTGAGGGAGAATCTAAGTGGAGGGTTTGTCTGCATCTTTTCAGGGAGCACTGATGGTGGCTCCTTGGCTTCTGGCTCCTGGGTGTGTATGTAAATTCCTTGAGTAGGGGGCAGTCAGAATGGACTCTTAGTATGGGGGGAACTGTTATGACCTGAGGCAACTGAAAATAGTGCCCTGGAAGCGATATTAGCCCACCAGTTTATAGGGCTCATGGAGTGGGGGAATCGCTTCTTCATGTTTTATAGGGAGCGTGCTTATTGAAGCAGGGCCGCCATCAATTTTGAAGAATTTCCGTTGGAAAATGTGTATAATAATGTTATGCAAAGTAACGGGAAGTGTTAATAATGACAAATAAATAGAAAATATGCTGAAATAAATTCCACCAAAACGTTCATTGTGATGACCTGGGATTGATGAGATTATAGGAGCCTTATGTTTTCTCCCTTATCTATTTATGCCGTTTTTATATACAGGGTTCTCACTTTCCAAAACGAGAATGTATTATCTTCTTTGATAGAAAATAGAGTAGTTAAAGACTATAATCAATAGACCCATTAATACAGAAACAACCTATATGGCCATAAAGGGGGTATGGTAAAAACAAAATAAACAATGGTACATCTGAATAATGAGCTACCGTGCAGTCATCAGGTAATAGTGTGAAATTGAAAGTTTTTTACTACAGGTTGTTAAGGGGGTAAAAGTAGCATAAGAAACAGAATATATAGTAAATGCTTAAATAGCAAGTATAAATATATAAGTAAGCATATATATGTCTATACATTTCTGGAAGAACATAAACAAAAATGTTATTACAGTTGTGATTATTGGTAATTCTTTTATTTTTGGTGTATCCATTATTTTCTAATTTCAGCAGTGAAACATTGGATTACCTGTATAATTAGATGTTTATATAACTTTTAAAAAACAAACCTCCAAAGAATATTCTTAGGGCTAGGAAATCCAGAAAGGGACAGTGACAAATTATGTGTTTGTAAGCAATGCTGCCATCTGGTGGATCAAAGGCAAAAACTCACCCTCGCCATTTTTCATCAGGAATTAAGAAATGAATGTCAGATTCTGTGTTGTGTTTCAGACGAATGCTTGGACAATTTTAGTGACTTAACAAAAGTATTCCTTTGATTCACATGAAAAGAATTAGCCCAGGAACTGAGTGGGAACTTAATTATGGGTGTGGCTGTTCCATTTTATTAAAAAAATATTTAAAAACCTGTTTTACTAAATGTGCCTGAGGTTACACTCATCCATAAAGAATTCTGAGTTATCCATTTTATTTAGGATTATTTACATCTTAACTTTTCCCAACTATGTGGCATAGTACGCAGTCCTTAATAACACTACAAATATTTGTGGAACGAATGATTATTTCTGGCTGACTTAATCCAACTATCAGTTGGTGTATTTTCATAGGCTATATTTTAATTTAACTATGAACCAGTCAAAGCACCAGTTCTCTTGATAACCAAACATAAAATAATAAAATGCTTGACACGGCCAAATGATGGTCGTTTAGCTGCCACTTTGGATAAACTACCCACCATAGGACTCTCTCCTAAATCTCACTCAGCCCACTCACAAATTTAACTTTTTCTGCTTACCTTTCTTCTTACACACATGAAAACCTAAATATTCGATGGTCCCTCTGTGGAAAAACATTGTGAACATCTCCCCCACCATATTCTTCCCAATGAATTCCCCAGGCCAAGTGGCTAACGGGTAGACTGCTGCCTTTGAGAATTAACCCTGACTTTCCTTACCCCTTTCCCCCCAACAGGTGAACTGATCAACCTTGCCATGTACTGTGAGAGGATAAGGAGGAAATTCTGGCCCGAGTGGCACCATGATGATGACAACACCATCTATGAGTCTGAGGAGAGCAGCGAAGGCAGCAAAACCCACACGCCCTTGCTGGATTTCAGCTTTTACTCAAGGACAGAGACCTTTGAAGATGAGGGAGCAGAGAACAGTTTTTCCAGAACCCCAGATACAGATTTCACTGGACACTCACTCTTTGATTCCGACGTGGACATGGATGACTACACAGACCACGAACAGTGCAAGTGATGTTCAGCCTCGCTGACCGTCTTCTGCCCGAGCTGCCACTCCCTGGTGGGTCCAGTTTCCCAGGTGGAAATCCAGCTCAGCTGGGAGGAGATCTTCGTGCTTGGCACACTTCTCACAAGCTAACTGGACTATAGCAGCCTTATTTCTTTTTGTACAAACGAAACACAGAACCATTAAGATGGCTCCATTTAAAACAGGCAAAAAAAAAAAAAAAAGTCAGCATGGTTCCTGAAATCCATTTTTGTTTTCATTAGAAAACTAACATCCTGTGGCAGAGCAGGGGCAAGAACAGGTCGTCTGTGGATCCCGATTCCGTAGATCCCCTTCAGCCCGAGGGCTTAGCTGTGAGACGGACTCTCGAGCGCCCTTCCTTTCTTCACGTGGGTTCGAAGTAACCCGAGAAGTCATCAGGAGACATGTAGGAGACAAGGGTTCTATGGTGGCTGCTTGTATTTTATGTGTGTATATTGTATGTTGAGATAATTCAAATAAAATCCCTAGATATTCAGTGAACACCTACTACGTGCAAAGCACTGTGCTAGGTGCTAATCAGTATAAGTTTTCTTCTCAGTCCTGCCAGTGACTAGCTGTGTGATTTCGGGCAAGTCCCTTAATTCTCGTGTGCCTCATTTCCCCCACCTGTAAGGTGGGGATAACACTACTCTCCACCTACCTACCTCACAGGGGTGTTGTGAGGATTCATGTGGTAACATTCGGCGCTTTAAACCTCTTGGAAGAGCTGCGACGTAAACACCTTTTATTCTCGATTGTGCTTCCGACGTGTGGAGATTCGAGGGCAAAGGAATTCCACGTCCGGCCAGCAGCAGCCACAGTCACTCGCCAGAACCAAACAGACGAAACACACGCAGAGGCACAGCTAGGACTCGGTCCTCGTTCTTCCCTGTGATCTTGCTTGAATCGATCTCTTTTGCGGAGAGAACCTTGAACATGCCCTTCCAGCTCATCAACAGCTGCAAACAGTCTTCAGTTCTGTGTCTGCAGAAGTCTTTCTTTCGTTGCCTGAACGCACGCTGGAGTGTTGTCCTTTGTTGACTCCCGAGCGTTAAGTTGCCCGTGTTTGGTTTATCTGAAGGGAGTAAAGCTCAGGAACATGATGGGTTTCACAGAAGTGGAGGGGAAAGGATTTGACTGATTTTTCTAAGCAGATGCTTGCCAGCTTGTAATGTCTTTTTGAAAACAGACCTTGCGAGATGTGCTGAAATGATGAAATGTGAAGAGAATCACGGCGCTGGCATCAGAGCACTTCATGCAGTGTACACTCTATGCAGTTTTCCTAATGCAACTTCTCTGGTGTTCTCAGCCATTGCCCTGCGAGAGGAAGGCAATGCCGAGGACAAACGTTAATGTTTCTTAAGGATTTCCCATAGCTTCCCTGTGCTCCCTCTCCTTCCCCGTAGAGCACAGGGACCCTTGGGGTTACTGTATTTACTAAGGCCCTCTGTCTCTGAAGACATCATTTTTGGTGACTTACAACATTTTCCAGTGAAATAGGGGGTGAAGGTGCAGGGGTGATGGCCGTGGATTTGGGCAGGAGAGTCAGTGTTCAGATTCACATCTGCAACCAGAACTGCTTTGCTTCTGATCACAGCGGGCTCACAGGGCGATGGTTATGTGTTGAGGGGCTCAAGAGACACTGCTTTAAAGACAGCAACATGTGCTGGGACATGTTCATGTTCTTTGCTTGACAAAGACTCTTTGAATATGGCTTTTGCAAAAAAAATCCTAAAATGCTGTGGATTCCACTGAGAGGTAAAGGGGGAGAGTTGCTGAGGCTGTTTACCATTGAAGCAACCGTGTAGGAGATGCCCTGAGTTGGACATTCTTACTGCACAGGAAACCCGGTTGTTAGTCTTTTATTAAAACCATTCATCTTGGAGAGGACTGTTTGATGCCTAATGAAAATGTGGTGCAGAAGATATGAATGGACGACCGTGTTTCATCTCCAGTGTCACTTGGGAGGACTGTCCACTTCTGTCTCTAATGAGTGTGTTCCAAGGCCAGCTGGTGGTAGTTCCGTGTGACTAGGGAAACTTTGGGCTTGAAAATGCGAATTCAACAAACAGATGGACTGTTGACCCATCCACACAAGGACCGAGTTGCCCTGTCCCCACTCTTAGCTGGAGAGAGTTGTGTTTGGAATTTTGCCTACGATTTATTCTTACTATATAGCACCAGGTGTGTTGTATCTTTACTTCAAGAATGATTAAGTTATGATTGTGTAGAGTTGCATTTTTTTTTTTTTATCGTGCATTGCTTGGAGAGCAAGTACATGGAGAGACAATGTTCATTGTCATTCTATCCGGGTGCCTCTCAGGGACTTGAATGGACGTTACCACTTGGAGTCTTGGGTACTAGTCTGACAGCTCATGACTGGGTAGCCAAACATTTTGTAGGTGTAACTCAATCTGGAGCCCTGGAATTACATCCCCAGGTTTTACCTCTCCAATGTGGGTTATGGAAACAAAATAACCAGACAGACTGGGTGTGGTTTGGATGACCTGGGTAGGCTTTATTGGGAGGGCTTTTATCTTTTTAATTTTGATTTTATCTTTCATTCCTAAGCTCCCCAGATCTGAAGTGTTCTCCAATATGGTGAACAGGTGCTACTTACAAGAAAAAAATAATAAGAAATTAGGGGACATTTTGGTTATCTGGCTTACTTGTTCAAGTTGTGTTTTTGTTTTTTTTTACTGGAAAGTAACTTAAGGAAAGTGTGATCTTCAATGTTAACAGAGGTTCTAGGTTGGGCAGAAGACCTGCGCTAACCACCTGTTCTTTTTTTACCCCAATAAATTCCTCCCCTCTCTCCCTCTCCCTTTACCCCTCATCCCCACTCATCAGGATTGAGGAGCAGCAATAGTATGATTTAATCTGCATATGTCAGAGTAGAAATAAGGGCAACATAAATTTATGAAGAGGTAAACCGTATCTTCAGAGCTTACCATTTTGTTGTTGTAACATAACGAATTGTGAACAGTGATGCTCCTGAGGCCATGGGCTACCCAGGTGACTGATCATAGACTCAGAGCAACTTGGACTTGAATCACAACTACAGTCTGGTGCTCCAGTGAACCCTGCCTGTGTGTGCTGTGGTATTAGGTATTGGGTTAGGATTCCTGAAGTAGTGTTCAAGGAAAGGAAGAGCTAGGGATTTTAGCTTCATGGGTCTTGTCTAGATTATTTGAGAGAAGGTGTAGAATCAAGCAGTGTACGGCTGGGCCATGGGTTGGTTGTGGGAAGCCCCTTACAAGAGAGCCTTTGAGGTTGTTGTTGGCCCCGCGTCTCATGTGCGTTCATGTGCAGCGAAGGACCTGAACCAAATCTTTCTCCTGGCCTTAGATGGTTCTTGCCATGACACCATTTTGACTTGGTTTCCTTTGAAAACCCATATCCCCTGAGAAATCGCTCTGTGCCCATGGAGCCAGCATGTCCCCAGTCTCTCTCAAAGAGTGCTTAGAGTCTTCCGCTTTTGTCCTCCATGTCCATTCAGTCCGGTCCAGGCCAACCCAAGGGATCTTTCATTAGGGTTTACTCTGCAAGGTACTGCTAGGCTGTGCGAATGATAGCAAGTAGCCAAGACTCTTTATTCTTTGTTATTTATCTTTTAAGAATGCATGCCCATATGCTCACTCACTGTGTGTTTACTGAGCACCTACCCTGGGCCTGGCCCTGGGATCCACCCTGGCTATGGAGTGGGGAACAGAACAGACATGGCACCCTCATGTTAGGTCATCCTCTTTTCCTTAGACTTCTGCAGTAGCCTCTTTTAAATGCTTGGTCACTTCCCTCATCCATTCTACCCATCACCACTAATTTTTTTAAAAAGCTCCAGCCCTGAGGGTGTGCCATATTGCCTCAGGGTGAGGGCCGCTCCCTGGGGCCTGGTATCCTCACCTCTTCCTTCTTCTCCTTCCCTGGGGTGTCTCCCAGGGCTCCTCCATGTGAGCCATCCAGTGCATCCAGGTTGGTTTGGTTGCCATTGCCTAGACATATCTTATTTTCCCCCCTCTGCCTCTGCTTATGTTAGCCTCTCTCCTGAAACGCCTGCCCTTTCTTTCCGCTGGCCCAACTCATGCCCACCTCTTAAGGCCCAGCTTCCTCAGTTCTGCAAGAAGACTTCCCAGCTCATTATAATCTCCCCTTCCTCTAGAAACACAGCATTCATCATCTCCTTCCCTGATGGCTGCATGGGAAAGGTATACCCAAAAGCAGGCCACGTGCTAAAAAGCAGTGGTTTTAAATTGACCTCAGAGATGCCACTGAGAATCCTATGAAAGCCCTCTGCCTTATTACCAGAAAAATACATATATGAAAATACACAAAATTTTACGTAGAAGTTCAGATTTAGAGACCTGAAATCATCCACGGATTCCTTAGGTGCTCACGGACCCCAGTTGAAGAAACCTTCTGTATAAAGAGTGTTTAAAAATTCCCATTATTAGTGTTCATTCTTTTCTTGCCTTTGACCTATTCAGAGAGGAGAAAAATTGGTATGGGACGTGCATGCAAGAGAATTTCTTACTATCCATGCTGAGTGTGTTGAGTGACAGGGAAGGAAGGAAGAAGAGGTGTCTTGCATTAATTGAGAAAATAGCTTTGTTTTGACAGATTTGGCATTCTGAAACTGACAAGGCTTTATTGTTATTGTTGTTGTCAGTTATCCTTAAACCATCCAAAAAGTTGGTTTATCCGAATTAATTCAGGGCCCTGTGAGCTTCTTCTCAGCTCTCAAACCTACCACTTCTGCATGGGTAGGCTGACCAGCGGGGGGCGTCAGGTAGGAGAGAAGAGGCTGGATTGTCCCTTATAGGAAAAGGTCTGCACAAGCACATTTTCCTGTATTCATCCATCCATCCATCCATCCATTCATAGGATAATTGTTGAGTGTATTTTCAATAAAAGGATGGTGCCTTTGTTGATAGGTAACTACTCAGGTTCTTCTGTGTCGCTGTCGTCGTCTTTTTCTTTTTTTACAGGGTGAAGTGATTTTTATTGCTCCTATCATCCAAGATTCATTGCTCTTCTGTATGTGCAGGGCTGTGTAAGTTGAACAAGAACCGATGAAAGTACGTTTGATGACAAATACTTCCAAGTCTGAACGCTGAACTCCGGCAACCCATCCTTAATAAGTTCAGCCATCCATTATGTATGATTGTGGAGTGCTTGACCTTTATTCAGTTGCTTC